TGACTGCAACAAATTATATGTGGGCGAAACATCAAGAGACCTCCAAACCCCGCATTTCAGAACACCAATATGCAAGCAGGACTGACGATACAAGGAATGCCGTGTACAGCATCGCAAATTTACACAACCATTTAATTAACTTCAGAAACTCAAGACTTATAGCCACAGAAGACAACACTCAATACAGAAGAATCCTGGAATCATCGCTATTCCCCAAACCAACAATTTCAACCAAACAATGTTCTATAACATAGCTGAACCACTCGCCAAGAAACTTCTTCATCGCTATCCCACATAAGAACACAGAACACTGCAGAAGGTCTACAACTTGTCCAATACCCCTGCCAAGCTACCCAAGACTCTATAACCCCACCCGGTGGATCATCAGATGCAGCATTCTTCACCTGACCTCAACATTCTGACTATAAAACTCTCGTACCTTCCAACCCCAGGTAGATCCGTGTGTGACTTGAGAAAGCCCACTGTATGGGTGAAACGTTGTCAATAAAGGATCACATTATACTGCATTTGTGTTTATATTTCCATTGTGTCGGTATTTTATACCATTTATTACCACAGGGGACAAGTCGTTACCGTCAAATTACCGCCCAATAAGCCTGACCTCAATTGTAGGCAAGTTGCTAGAGTCAATTATAGCTGAGGTTATAAGAAGCCAAACTCGATAAAACATGCTTGATTAATGATACTCAGGGATGGATTACAAGAGGCCGGTCTTGTATAACTAATTTATTAACTTTCTTCAGTAAAGCTTTTGAGGCTGTTGACCACGATAAAGAATTTGATATTGTTTACTTAGATTTTAGTAAGGCATTTGATAGAGTTCCGCACCAAAGACTGTTGAAGAAAGAGCAGCTCATGGCATTGGGGGAAGGGTGCTCTCGGGATCGAGTCATGGCTCACAGACAGGAAGCAGAGAGTGTCCATAAATGGGGTTAAAATCCGAGTGCGGATCAGTAAAAAAGTGGCGTTCCACCCGGGATCAGTCTTGGGCCCGTTGTTGTTTATAATATATATCAATGATCTTGAGAAGGAATTGCTAGTGATATGAGCAAATTCGCCGATGACACGAAGATAAGGGAGGATAATTGATTCAAACGTAGATGTTAGGGAAAATTTAGGAGGATTTAGACAAACTCTACTCTTGGTCAGAAAAGTGGCAGATGCAGTTCAATGTAGATAAATGCAAGGTTCTGAACTCGGGAGTGTCCATAACCCTAGCACTTTTAAGTTAAATAATGTAGAACTTAGCCATACAGATTGCGAAAAGGACTTGGGGTTATGGTAAGCAGCAACCCTTTAAACCAAGACAGCAAAGCCTAAGCGTACGTAAAAAGGCAAATAGATTACTGGGATTTTATCAAGAAGTGTAAGCAACAGAAGTCCAGAGGTCATACTGCAGCTTTATACATCATTTGTAAGCCTCACCTAGATTATGCAGCTCAATTCTGGTCTCCATACTACAGAATGGACATAAATTCGTTAAAAACATTCAGCGTAGGATGACTAAATTAATACATAGCATTAGAAATCTTCCTTATGAAGAAAGATTGAAGACTCTTAAGTTACATTTACTTGTTAGACGAAGAATGAGGGGAGACCTGATCGAAGTGTATAAGTGGAAAATAGGTATTATAAAGGGGATATTAACAAGGTCTTGAGGATATCTCCTCCAAGAGAGAACCCGCAGTATGGATTTAAATTAGATAAGTTTAGATTTTGAAAGGACAGAAAGTATTGGTTTGGAAATAGGGTAGTTGATGAGTGGAAAAAGTCTACCCAGTTGGGTTATTGAGGCTAGGACTTTGGGTAGTTTTAAATTTAGGTTTGGGTAAGTACATGAGTGGGAGGGGTTGGATTTGAGAGGGACTTGCACATCTGAGCTTGTTTCTTGGGTGGCATTGAAAATTGGGTTGGTCAAATGTTTGTTAGTGGGATGAATTGTAAAGGACCTGCCTAGTATGGGCCAACAGGCCTGCTGCAGTGTTCCTCCTTTCTTATGTTCTTATGTTCTTATGTTATCATGTCTCCCCTGACCCTCCTGTCCTCCAGTGTCGTCAGGCCGATTTCCCTTAATCTTTCTTCATAGGACATTCCCCTTAGCTCTGGAACTAACCTTGTCGCAAACCTTTGTACTTTCTCTAGTTTCTTGACGTGCTTTATCAAGTGCGGGTTCCAAACAGGTGCTGCATACTCCAGTATGGGCCTGACATACACGGTGTACAGTGTCTTGAATGATTCCTTACTAAGGTATCGGAATGCTGTTCTCAGGTTTGCCAGGCGCCCATATGCTGCAGCAGTTATCTGATTGATGTGTGCTTCCGGAGACATGCTCGGTGTTATACTCACCCCAAGATCTTTCTCCTTGAGTGAGGTTTGCAGTCTTTGGCCACCTAGCCTATACTCTGTCTGTGGTCTTCTGTGCCCTTCCCCTATCTTCATGACTTTGCATTTGGCAGGATTAAATTCGAGAAGCCATTTGCTGGACCAGGTGTCCAGTCTGTCCAGGTCCCTTTGAAGTCCTGCCTGGTCCTCATCAGATTTAATTCTCCTCATTAACTTCACATCATCTGCAAACAGGGACACTTCTGAGTCTAACCCTTCCGTCATGTCGTGCGTGTGTGTGTGTGTGTGTGTGTGTGTGTGTGTGTGTGTGTGTGTGTGTGTGTGTGTGTGTGTGTGTGTGTGTGTGTGTGTGTGTGTGTGTGTGTGTGTGTGTGTGTGTGTGTGTGTGTGTGTGTGTGTGTGTGTGTGTATTCGCCTAGTTAGTTAGTTAGTTAGTATGTGTGTGTGTCTGTGTGTGTCTGTGTGTGTGTGTGTGTATGTGTATGTGTGTGTGTGTGTGTGTGTGTCTGTGTCTGTGTGTATTTGAGTGTGTGTGCATGTGTTGTGTGTGTGTGTGTGTGTGTGTGTGTGTGTGTGTGTGTGTGTGTGTGTGTGTGCTCGTGTGTGAGCTTGTGTGTGTGTGTGTGTGTTAGGTTAGGTAAGTTTTCTAATGTTCTTTTGGTACAAAGTTATTAATTTTTACATTATCATAAATGAAAAAATAATATATCTTTGAACGTATAGGAGAAAATTTTAGAACGGTCTTAATTTTAAATAATTTCTTGCTAATTGACCAATTTTACCTATTCGGCACGACATATATATATGTATGTTTGTATATATGAATGTATGTATGTATATTATACACTCAATGGCCACTGTATTAGGTACACCCGTACATCTGCTCGTTAATGGAAATATCTAATTAGTCAATCATGTGGCAGCACTTCAGTGCCTAACAGCATGCAGACATGATCATGAGATTCAGTTGTTGTAAAGACCCAATTTGAGAATGGGGAACAAATGTGACTGAAGTGACTTTGGCTGTGGGATGGCTGTTGGTGCTAGACAGACGGGGTGGTTTGAGTATCTCAAAACTGCTGATCTCTAGGATTTTCATGCACAAGTTTCTAGAATTTAGAGAGAATGGTGTGAATACATAACCTCCACAGAGTGGCAATTCTGTGAGAGAAAACGCTTTATTAATGAGAGAGATCAGAGGAAAATGGCCAGACTGATTAAACCTGATGGGAAAGATACAGTAACTCAAATAATCATATGTTACGAAAGTGGTATGCAGAGGAGTCTTTCTGAACGCACAACCCATCGAACTTTGACGTGGATGGGTTACAGCAGCAAAAGACTATGCCTGGTTCCACTCTCTCAGCTGAGAATAGGAAACTGAGTACAGACTAACCAAAGTTGGACAGCTGAAGCTTGGAAGACGTCGCCTGGTCTGAAGAATCGCGATTTCTGCTGCGACATAAGAATAGAAGAACATAAGAAAGGAGGATCACTGCAGCAGGCCTGTTGGCTCATACTAGGCAGGTCCTTTACAATCCATCCCACTAACAAATCATTTGCCCAACCCAGTTTTCAATGCTACCCAAGAAATAAGCTCTGATAACTCTATCCACTCATTTGCAAGTCCCACTCAACTCCAACCCCTCTCACTCATATATTTATCCTACCTAAATTTGAAACTACCCAAAGTCCTAGCCTCAGTAAGCCAACTAGGTAGACTGTTCCACTCATCAACTACCCTATTTCCAAACCAATATTTTCCTATGTCCTTTCTAAATCTAAACTTGTTTAATTTAAATCCATTACTGCGGGTTCTCTCTTGGAGAGACATCCTCAAGACCTTATTAATATCCCCTTTATTAATACCCATCTTCCACAAATACCCATCTTCCACTTAATACCCATCTTTCATGCAGATTGTGGGGTCAAAATTTGGCTGAAATCTTTGGGATGTGAAGAAACAGAAGTCATAGATGTTCAACTGATAACTCTGCAGCAACTTCGCGATGCTATCATGACAACACAGACCAGGATCTCTAAGGAATGTTTCCAACACCTTGTTGAATCCATGCCACTCAGAATTCAGGCTGTTCTGGTGGCCCTACCCACGTGTAGCTAATCAATTGGTCACTGAGTATCAGGAGCTAAAGATGATCTGTTTTTGATCCGTGTATGGTGTGCAAAAAAAATTGTCCTTGCTAGAGACCAGAGCATCTAGCGGTCCAGCAGCATCGTGACGCAATAAGTTCTCTCATGCGCAGTTTCACATTTAAGAACAAGTTAAAAAACTGGTTAGGTGATAATCCCTGATGATTACTGTGGAGCGAGGACGCCAGTGTCAGGACAGACAGTGTCCTGGTAAGATCACTTCAAGTGGGCCATACTAGCAGTGTCCTAGTAAGATCACTCCATGTGAGCCATAATAGCAGTGTCCTAGAAAGATCACTCCAGGTGAGCCATACTACCAGTGCCCAGGAAAGATTACTCCAGGTGGACCATACTACGAGTGTCCAGGAAAGATCGCTCCAGATGGGCATTACTAGAAGTGTCCTGGTAAGATCACTCCAGGTAGGCCATACTACCAGTGTCCTAGTAAGATCACTCCAGATGGGCCATGCTAGAAGTGTCCAGGTAAGATCACTCCAGGTGGGTCATACTAGGGGTGTCCTAGTAAGATCATTCCAGGTGGGCCATACTATCAGTGTCCAGGAAAGATCACTCCAGATGGGCCATACTACCAGTGTCCTAGTAAGATCACTCCAGATGGGCCATACTAGAAGTGTCCAGGTAAGATCACTCCAGGTGGGTCATACTAGGAGTGTCTGGTAAAATCTTTCCAGGTGATCCTTACTACCAGTGTCCAGGTAAGATGACTTCAAGGTGGAATGGATCAAGAATTGAGACACTTATGCAACATATGGGAATGTTTATTGAAGAAAAGTTTCGCCACACAGTGGCTTCATCAGTCCAGTACAAAGTAGAAATGGGTAAGGAGAGGAGGAGTTTGAGGTAATCAGTCCCTCAGCCTGGAATCGATGTGTTCAGTCCATCACTCTTGTAGGAAGTACAGCATAGAGCCAGTGAGGTGGCTTATATACTGCAGTCAGGTGAGTCGAAGCAGGAGGAGGCGGGATCAGAGTGGGACCTTCGACTCACCTGACTGCAATATATAAGCCACCTCTCTGCCCTATGTTGTACTTTCTACAAGAATGATGGACTGAGAGGCTGATTACCTCAAACGTCTCCTCTCCTTACCCATTTCTACTTTGCACTGAACTGGTGAAGCAACTTTTTAGAGAAGCGTTTCTTCAGTAAAGATTCCCATATGTTGCATATGTGTCTCAATTCTTTAACTTGTCGGTTTTCAAAACCATTCATCACACATGGAATGGATCAACTGGAGCGATCTTACTTGGACACTGGTAGTATGGCCCACCTGAAGCGATCTTACGTGGACACTGGAAATATGGCTTACCTGGAGTGATCTTACCTGGACACTGGAAACATAGCCCACCTGGAGTGATTTTACCAGGACACGGTGTCCCGTAGCTCGATTGACAGCGCACTCCGCTCACTGCGATCTTTCTCTGCATATATATACCCGCTTGTTTTTGCGTGCAGTGATAAAAAAATAAGCATGTGAGGTCAGAACATACAAGAGAAGGTTGAAATATCTTGAAACCATGGTTAACGTCCAGTGATGTGGCTCATAAACCAGGCTGTCCAGCTTATGATGAATTAAGACATGCAACATATAAAAATCTTTACTGAAGAAACGTTTCGTCACACAGTGGCTTCGTCAGTCTTATACAAAGCAGGAATGTATGAGGAGAGGAGGAGTTTGAGATAATCAGTCCCTCAGCCTGGAGGCGATGTGTTCAGTCCATTACTCTTGTAGAAAGTACAGCATAGGGCCGTAGCAGTGGCTTATATACTGTAGTCAGGTGAGGCGAAGCAGGAGGAGGCGGGCTCATAGTGGTACCATCAACTAGTCTAAGTAGGTCTTCGTTCAAAGATTGGGCAAGTCTGAAGAATTCTTTGTATCAAGACCCCATGATGATGCAGTGTCTGACAGATGTGTTGAATGGTTTTGAAAACCGACAAGTTGAGGAATTAAGACACTTATGCAACATCATGGGATCTTGATACAAAGAATTCTTCAAAACTTATCCAATCTTTGGACGAAGATATACTTAGATTAGTGGATGGTACCACTATGACCCCGCCTCCTCCTGCTTGGTCTCACCTGACTACAGTATATAAGCCACTGCTACGGCCCTGTGCTGTACTCTCTACAAGATTGATGGACTGAACACATCGCCTCCAGGCTGAGGGACTGATTATCTCAAACTCCTCCTCTCCTTATACATTCCTGCTTTGTATAAGACTGATGAAACCACTGTGTGGCGAAGCGTTTCTTCAATAAAGATTCCCATATGTTGCATAAATGTCTTAATTCTTCAACTTGTCGGTTTTCAAAACCATTCACCACATCTTATGATGCATTTGTGGGCGAGTGGTGTGTATTTCCTGTGCCGGTGCTTGCTACTATAAGTGCCTCTTGTTTTTCTTGCAGAAAGTTAGCTGAAATGAGTAAAAATAGCGACTTGAATCCTCGCAAAGTGGGACAGATAAGCGTTTTATTTAGTGATGACACAGTGAAACAGAAAGAAATAGCAATAAAACTTTTTGTTTTAATTCAAACAGTCAGTAAAATTAAGAAGGAATTGAATTACAATCAAGATTTTAACTAAAATACGGGTGGGAACATGTGGTAGAAAACGGAAAGCAACACCGAGTTCAGACAAAAATAATTCGAATGGCTCTTCACAACAGACGAGCATCTTGTAGGTAGATTTTCTTTTACCTAACAGCAGCAGGTGTTAGCCTTGTCCGAAAGACAGGTAATGAGAGGCTTATGGAGAGTTTATTGAAAGCATATTGTCTCAGAAAGAAGCCGCGACTCAGTGAACCCATGATACGGGTACATTTAGCCTGGGTTAAGAATTACAATGAGTGGACTTCTGAACAATGGGAGGAGATATGAATTATATTTAGCTATTCAGTTTGTTTGCTGTTCATAAGAGAACATTAATTACACTGGTCTGCATGATTTTTCTGTATTGACTCTTATGTTATATTTTTCGGTATATATATGGAAAATAGTGAGTCATTGTGTTTTTTATTCATCTCTGTCACATCAGGTTGTCAAGTTATACGGAAACGTTACTTTTCTCTTTTCGTATAACATAAGTAAATGAGAAAGTGGTACATTACCTATTAAAATGCTTACCTTATATTGACTTAAATGTTAAATCTAATATATTTTTCTTTATTTTCAGATTATTAATATGTCTAGAGGTTGCATAAATTCACCAGACATATTTTGCTATGTCTGCGGGCAATTCACCCCTTCAGATTCCCGGAGCAACATTACTCCTTGGAGTAACCAGGACAAACCATTTGCACCACACAAAGCTTGCAAGAATTGCATCAGTATGCTCTAAATGTGGTCAGCTGGAAAACTTAAATGTATGCCCTTTGGAGTACCAATGGTATGGTGGGAGCAAATGAACCACCATGATGACTGTTACTTTTGTATGACTAAAGTAGCTGGATCAAATATTTTCAGAAAATCATGGTGTGGGGAGCCATTTCCGTTCATGGAACAAGCTGTTTGCACATTGCTGAGGTTACCATGAACCAGATTATGTATTTAGAAGTATTACATCGCCAGTTACTGTCTCAAATAAGTGATTGGCCTGTCCAGATCCCTTTTGTAGTCCTACTTGATCCTCATCCAATTGAATTCTCCTCATTAGCTTCACATTGTCTGCAAACAGGGACACTTCTGAATCTATCCCTTCCAAAATGTCATTCACATATACCAGAAACAGCACCGGTCCCAGGACTAACCCCTGTGGAACTCCGCTCGGCACAGGCGCCCACTCCGACACGTTGTTGCCTTCCTGTCAGATATTCTCTGATCCATTGCATTGCCTTTCCTGCTATACCTACCTAGTCCTCGAGCTTTTGCACTAGTCTCTTGTATGGAACTGTGTCGAAAGCATTCTTACAGTAAAAGAAGGTGCAAGGTTTTATGATAAGGCGACGGAAGTCACCTTATCGGTTGTATGTATTGTGTCCAGCACTTGTTGGTGTATTCTACCATTTCGGAGTTCTGGAGTCCTTTCTGTCCCCACTGAAAATACTTTCTTAAATCTTATGTTAAGATCTTCACGTACTTCTCAGTCGTTTCCTGTGATCTTCCCTCCTTCCTTCCTCAGCCTGATTACCTGGTCCTTGACTGTTGGTTTCCTCCTGATGTGACTGTACAATAACTTCGGGTTAGACTTGGCTTTCGATGCTATGCCATTTTCATATTGCCGCTGGGCCTTCCTCCTTATCTGTGCATTTTCGTTTCTGGTTCTTTAACTACTCTCCTTATTTTCCTGGGTCCTTTGTCTTCTATACTTTTTTCATTCTCTAGCACACCTAGTTTTGGTCTCTCTACACCTTTGGGTGAACCGAGGGCTCGTTCTGGTCTTCCCATTATTTCTGTTGCCCTTGGGTACGAACCTGACCTCTGCCTCCTTGCATTTTGTTGTCACATATTCCATTATTTCAGTTACTGATTTTCCCATCAATTTTCTTTCCCACTGAGCCTCATGCAGAAAATTCCTCATGTCTGTGTAGCCCCCTCTTTTGTGGTTTGGCTTTTCCCATCCTACTCTTCCTGTTTCTCTCTCTACTTGTAACTCTACTATATATTTAAAGCTCAGGACTACATGATCACTAGCTCAGAGGAGCCTTTCATGTATGATGTCCTCAATGTCTGAACTACTCAAAGTGAATATGAGGTTCAGTCTTGCTGGTTCATCCTCTCCTCATTCTCTGGTAGTTTCTCTAACGTGTTGGTGCATGAGGTTTTCCAGTACCCCTTTCATCATCTAAGCCCTCCACGTTTCTGGTTCCCTGTGTGGCTCCAGATTTTCCCAGTCAGTTTCCTTGTGACTGAAGTCAACTACAGCTAGTAACTTTGTCCTGCCCATGTGGGCCCTTCTGGCCACCTCAGTTAGTGCATCAAACATTGCTCTGTTGCTCTCATCATATTGTTGTCATGGCCTTTTGATATTCTGTGGTGGGTTATACATTACTGCAATCACCATCTTGGGACCCTCAGTCTGAGGTAACTACTATGTAGCCCCTGCTTCCTCTCTGTCTCCTATCGACTCCTCAAAACTCATTCTGATGAGCAGTGCAACTCTTCCACCCCTTCTATCTTTCCTCAAGATCTGATATCCAAGTGGGAAGGTGGCATCTGTTATCATTCTTGTGAGCTTGGTTTCCGTGAGTGCTATAATGTCTGGTGATGCCTCCGTGATTCTTTCATGACACTTATTCACTATTCCATCTGTGTTGGTATACCATAATTTCAGCTTCTTTTCCAATACTGTATTCTGGGGGTTTGTGTGGGGCTGGGGGAGAAGGAGACCTGGCAGGGTGTCATGGGAGTCTACTGTATAAGTTGGGGTGGGGTCTGTGAGTGTGGAGTGTGGTGCGTTTTGGGATAACATGTTTGGTTGCAGGGTTCTGTAGTGGTTGTACTTGCTGCTCCTCCTGACTCTCATTATCCCCTCCTGACTCTAGCGTTGTCTCTCTTGCCCCGTACGTCTTTGTATCTCTCTCTTGCAATCTAGGTACACCCTCTGGTATTTTGCTGTATCCTTTATCATGGTTTTTGCTGCAGAAGATCCTATTCTGCACTGTTTCTGTCTTGAAAATCAATTTGACTGGCTGATTTTTTCCCCCTCGAGTATTGCCCTATTCTCTAAAAGTTTATCAGCTCAGTTATGTCCTCTTCTGTTTGCTTGATGATAGTTTCAATCTCTTTTTTTTCCTATCCCAGTCGTCTTTCTTCACATGTCCTCCCTTCGGTCTCCTGAAGCCCATGAATAAACATTGACCTATATCTCTCTCCTCTTTCCATGTGGTTTAGCGCTTCTTTTTGATTATAATAATAATAATAATCCTTTTTCCATTGCTTTTCCCTCCACATCTCTGGGTCCCATTTAAATATAGCCATAGCTGCTTCCATTATTATTTCCTGGATCTCCTGGTGACCTGATCGCACCTCTGCAGGGAGGCCTATCACCTTCTCTACCTCCACCCCCCACATACTGTTGTCCCAGTGCTCAGCAGCATGCCACTTTTGTTCCTCAACATTTCTTGGTGGCCTGATAGGGCCTCAACATAGGACTTAACTCTTTCCTTTCCTTCAGTTCCCTTGTCAGATATTGGTGTAACTGCTCCTGATGGTATGCCCTTTCCGATTTTTGGCTCTGTATCCTGGCTTCTGCAGCTTCGACTCGCAGCTCCCACTTCTTGCTCACAAATCCATTCTCTCCTCCATTTAAGCGATTAGCTAACTTAGCTTCCTTTCCCACTCTTATTCCATCCTTTCCCATTCGCTTTCTGTCCATTCTTCTTTTCCAGACCCATTTTAATCTGTTCCACTGGGTCGTCGACCTTTCCTCTGGGGGTTCCAATTTTTTTTCAGTGAAGTTATTAATGTTAACCTCACACTAACACACCTGTTTACTTGTGTGCAGGTGTATTTGTGTGTATGCATGTATGAACATGTATATGTATATGAATGTGTGTACTCACCTAATTGTACTCACCTAATTGTGGTTGCAGGGGTCGAGACTCAGCTCCTGGCCCCGCCTCTTCACTGATCGCTACTGGATCCTCTCTCTCTCTGCTTCCTGAGCTTTGTCATACCTCTTCTTAAAACTATGTATGGTTCCTGCCTCCATTACTTCACTTGCTAGGCTATTCCACTTGCTGACAACTCTATGACTGAAGAAATACTTCCTAACGTCCCTGTGACTCGTCTGAGTCTTCAGCTTCCAGTTGTGACCCTGTGTCCCCTCTCTGGAACAACCTATCTCTGTCCACCTTGTCTATTCCCCGCAGTATCTTGTATGTCGTTATCATGTCTCCCCTGACCCTTCTGTCCTCCAGTGTCGTCAGTCCGATTTCCCTTAACCTTTCCTCGTACGACATTCCCTTGAGCTCTGAGACTAGCCTTGTTGCAAACCTTTGTACTTTCTCCAACTTCATGACGTGCTTGACCAGGTGTGGGTTCCAGACTGGTGCTGCATACTCCAGTATGGGCCTAACATACACAGTGTACAGTGTCTTGAACGATTCCTTATTAAGGTATCGGAACGCTATTCTCAGGTTTCCTAGGCGCCCGTATGCTGCAGCTGTTATTTGGTTGATGTGTGCCTCCGTTGATGTGCTCGGTGTTATGGTCACCCCAAGGTCTTTCTCCCTGAGTGAGGTCTGTAGTCTTTGTCCACCTAGCCTATACTCTGTCTGCGGTCTTCTTTGCCCCTCCCCAATCTTCATGACTTTGCATTTGGCTGGATTGAATTCGAGAAGCCAGTTACTGGACCACATGTCCAGCCTCTCCAGGTCTCTTTGCAGTCCTGCCTCATCCTCGTCCGATTTAATTCTTCTCATCAACTTTACGTCATCTGCGAACAGGGACACTTCAGAGTCTATTCCTTCCATCATGTCGTTCACATATATCAAAAATAGCACTGGTCCTAGAACTGACCCCTGTGGGACCCCGCTCGTAACAGGCGCCCACTGTGATACCTCTTCACGTACCATGACTCGTTGCTGCCTCCCTGTCAGGTATTCCCTTATCCATTGCAGTGCCCTTCCTTTTACGTGTGCCTGATCCTCCAGCTTCTGCACTAATCTCTTGTGTCAAAGGCCTTCCTGCAGTCTAGGAAAACGCAATCTACCCAACCCTCTCTCTCGTGTCTTACTTCTGTTACCTTGTCATAAAACTCCAGGAGGTTTGTGATACAAGATTTGCCTTCCATGAACCCATGCTGGTTTTCATTTATAATCTTGTTCCTTTCCAGGTGTTCGACCACTCTCCTCCTGATAATCTTCTCCATGACTTTGCACACAATACATGTCAGAGACACAGGTCTGTAGTTTAGTGCCTCGTTTCTGTTTCCTTTCTTAAATATGGGGACTACATTAGCTGTCTTCCATTTCTCAGGTAGTTGCCCAGTTTCAAGGGATGTGTTGAAGATTGTGGTTAGAGGCACACACAGCATCTCTGCTCCTTCTCTAAGGACCCATGGGGAGATGTTGTCCGGTCCATCGCCTTTGAGGTGTCAAGGTCACTTAAGAGCTTCTTCACCTCCTCCTCAGTTGTTCGTATGTCATCCAACACTTGTTGGTATATTCCCTCTTGATGTTCCCTTCTGTGCTGTCTTCCCACAGCCGTTCCTGTCTCTACTGTAAAAACTTCCTTAAATCTCCTGTTCAGCTTCTCACATACCTCCTGATCATTTCTTGTGAGTTCTCCACCTTCTGTCCTTAATCTGATCACCTGGTCTTTGACTGTTGTCTTCCTGCTGATGTGGCTATACAACAGTTTCGGGTCAGTCTTGATTCTCGATGCTATGTCATTTTAATACTGTCGCTGGGCCTCCCTCCTTACCTGTGCGTACTCATTCCTGGCTCTGCGACTGATCTCCCTATTTTCGTGTGTTCTCTGCCTTCTGTACTTTTTCCATTCTCTATTGCACTTTGTTTTTGCCTCCTTACACCGTCGGGTAAACCAGGGCTTGTTCTGGTCTTCCCGTTGTTACTGTTGCCTTGGGAATGAACCTTTCCACTGCCTCCTTGCATTTTGTTGTTACATATTCCATCATTTCATTTACTGGCTTTCCTGCCAGTTCTCTGTCCCACTGGACCTCCCGCAGGAAGTTCTTCAACCCTATGTAGTCCCCTCTTTTATAGTCAGGCTTTTCCCATTCTACTCCTGTTATTCTCTCCACTTGCAGCTCTACTATGTATTCAAAGCACAGAACCACGTGGTCGCTAGCTCCTAGGGGACTCTCATACTTGATGTCCTCAATGTCTGAGCTGCCCAGGGTGAACACAAGGTCCAATCTTGCTGGTTCATCCTCCCCTCTCACTCTGGTAGTGTCCTTAACATGTTGGTACATGAGGTTTTCCAGCACCACGTCCAACATCCTGGCTCTCCATGTTTCGGGACCCCCATGTGGCTCCAGGTTTTCCCAGTCAATCTCCCTGTGGTTGAAATCCCCCATAACCAGCAACTTTGCTCTGCTGGAGTGAGCTCTTCTTGCCACCTCAGCAAGTGTGTCCACCATTGCTCTGTTGCTCTCTTCATATTCCTCTCTTGGCCTCCTGCAGTTCTGTGGTGGATTATACATCACTGCAATGACCACTTTGTGTTCCCCAGACTGAAGTGTACCTGCTATGTAGTCTCTTTCTCCCGTCTCATCTATTCCTTCCATTTTCTCGAATTTCCATCTGTTTTTTACGAGCAGAGCAACCCCACCTCACCCCCTGCCCCTTCTATCTTTCCTCATGATCTGGTATCCTGGTGGGAAGATTGCATCTGTTATTGTCTCCATGAGTTTTGTTTCTGTAACTGCTATGATGTCTGGGGACTTCTCATTGATCCTTTCTTGCCATTCCTCATGTTTATTCGTTAATCCAACTGCATTTGTGTACCAAACCTTCAACTTCTGTTCTAATACTGTAACTGTGGTGCGGTTGGTGGAAACAGAGGGATCGGTGTGTAATGGTTGGTTTGGATTGTTCAGTTGCCTTGGGGGTGTCGTGGCTGGAGTCCTTCTGCAGGTGTTTCTGGGGGGTGCGCTTGTCCTTCCATTTGATCCTGGGTTATTCTGCTCTCCTTTTTCATTTCCTCCCATTTCTCCTTTCGTTTTTGAACTCTCTCTTTCATTGTCTTCCTTTCGTCCTGTGTGTGTACTCACCTATTTGTGGTTGCAGGGGTCGAGTCCTAACTCCTGCATGTGTGTGTGGTGTGTGTGTGTGTGTGTGTGTGTGTGTGTGTGTGTGTGTGTGTGTGTGTGTGTGTGTGTGTGCGTGTGTGTGTGTGTGTGTGCGTGTGTGTGTGTGTACTCACCTAGTTGAGGTTGCAGGGGTCGAGTCCAAGCTCCTCGCCCCGTCTCTTCACTGGTCGCTGCTAGGTCACTCTCCCTGAACCGTGAGCTTTATCATACCTCTGCTTAAAGCTATGCATGGATCCTGCCTCCACTACATCGCTTCCCAAACTATTCCACTTACTGACTACTCTGTGGCTGAAGAAATACTTCCTAACATCCCTGTGATTCATCTGTGTCTTCAACTTCCAACTGTGCCCCCTTGTTACTGTGTCCAATCTCTGGAACATCCTGTCTTTGTCCACCTTGTCAATTCCTCTCAGTATTTTGTATGTCGTTATCATGTCCCCCCTATCTCTCCTGTCCTCCAGTTTCGTCAGGTTGATTTCCCTTAACCTCTCCTCGTAGGACATACCTCTTAGCTCTGGGACCAGTCTTGTTGCAAACCTTTGCACTTTCTCTAATTTCTTGACGTGCTTGACCAGGTGTGGGTTCCAAACTGGTGCTGCATACTCCAGTATGGGCCTGACGTAAATGGTGTACAGAGTCTTGAACGATTCCTTACTGAGGCATCGGAACGCTATCCTTAGGTTTGCCAAACGCCCGTACGCTGCAGCAGTTATCTGACTGATATGTGCCTCAGGAGATGTGCTCGGTGTTATACTCACTCCAAGGTCTTTTTCACTGAGTGAGGTCTGCGGACTTTGGCCACCTAGATTATACTGTGCCTGCGGTTTTCTTTGCCCTTCCCCAGTCTTCATGACTTTGCATTTGGCAGGGTTAAATGCAAGGAGCCAGTTGCTGGACCAGGCTTGTAGCCTGGTCCATGAATATATATATTATTGTACCCACGAATGACGTATTGATCAATAACAACACTGACAACACTTCGACTAGCCAAGGAGTCGAGCCCATGCTGTTTTGGCCCGCCTCAAGATGAGCGAAAGACACATGACGCACGGTATGCTCTCTGGTGACGAGTACAACACCTAGCTTAGCTGGGTGCGTCATTCATGAGAATTGTGTGGTCCCGTGTAAATTTTAGAAAGGACTTAATTTTAAATGAGTTCTTGCTAATTGACCAGTTTTACCTATTCAACACGACATTTTTATCTTTTTACAGGTTAGTGAGCTGCTAAAGACTAGAACTTACCGTCACTGTATATATTGATTGTTATTGTTTATGGAAAAGGATAATTAAGTAAAGAAAAATTAGACAATGGAGGCAACTGCTGCTGGTGCTGCTGGTGCTGCATAACTACATTGTCAAGTGGTCTGTTTATCAGTGAAGATGAAGTCTGAGGAGAAAGATTCAACATTACTGTTGTCTTCACAAAGTGACAACATCTACATCTTCCCAGACGCCCACGAAACTCATTCCTTTCTGTTCAATGTCTACGTCAACCCGACCAAAATACTACTGTTTCTGGGTGGCAACATTTTATGTTTGGTAAGTTTACTGTTCAGAGTCCAGATGTCTTCACTCCAACCAACCATGACGCACTTCTTGGTGCGTTAAGAGTGTATCTTCTACAATATCCTTATCCCTCCCCAGTGTATGTCCTGTGTATCATTCTGATCCTTCCCCAGTGTATGTCCTGTGTACCATTCTGATCCTTCCCAGTGTATGTCCTGTGTACCATTCTGATCCTTTCCCAGTGTATGTCCTGTGTACCATTCTGATCCTTCTCCAGTGTATGTCCTGTGTACCATTCTGATCCTTTCCCAGTGTATGTCCTGTGTACCATTCTGATCCTTCTCCAGTGTATGTCCTGTGTACCATTCTGATCCTTTCCCAGTGTATGTCCTGTGTACCATTCTGATCCTTTCCCAGTGTATGTCCTGTGTACCATTCTGATCCTTCTCCAGTGTATGTCCTGTCTACCATTCTGATCCTTTCCAGTGTATGTCCTGTGTACCATTCTGATCCTTTCCCAGTGTATGTCCTGTGTACCATTCTGATCCTTTCCCAGTGTATGTCCTGTGTACCATTCTGATCCTTTCCCAGTGTATGTCCTGTGTACCATTCTGATCCTTCTCCAGTGTATGTCCTGTGCACTATTCTGATCTTTTCCCAGTGTATGTCCTGTGTATCATTCTGATCCTTTCCCAGTGTATGTTCTGTGTACCATTCTGATCCTTTCCCAGTGTATGTCCTGTGTATCATTCTGATCCTTTCCCAGTGTATGTCCTGTGTACCATTCTGATCCTTTCCCAGTGTATGTCCTGTGTACCATTCTGATCCTTCCCCAGTGTATGTCCTGTGTACCATTCTGATCCTTCCCAGTGTATGTCCTGTGTACCATTCTGATCCTTCCCAGTGTATGTCCTGTGTACATTCTGATCCTTTCCCAGTGTATGTCCTGTGTACCATTCTGATCCTTTCTCCAGTGTATGTCCTGTGTACCATTCTGATCCTTTCCCAGTGTATGTCCTGTGTACCATTCTGATCCTTTCCCAGTGTATGTCCTGTGTACCATTCTGATCCTTCTCCAGTGTATGTTCTGTGTACCATTCTGATCCTTTCCCAGTGTATGTCCTGTGTACCATTCTGATCCTTCCCCAGTGTATGTCCTGTGTACCATTCTGATCCTTTCCCAGTGTATGTCCTGTGTACCATTCTGATCCTTCCCCAGTGTATGTCCTGTGTACCATTCTGATCCTTTCTAAGTGTATGTCCTGTGTACCATTCTGATCCTTCTCCAGTGTATGTCCTGTGTACCATTCTGATCCTTCCCAGTGTATGTCCTGTGTACCATTCTGATCCTTCTTCAGTGTATGTCCTGTGTACCATTCTGATCCTTCCCAGTGTATGTCTTGTGAACCATTCTGATCCTTCCCCAGTGTATGTCCTGTGTACCATTCTGATCCTTTCCCAGTGTATGTTCTGTGTACCATTCTGATCCTTCTTCAGTGTATGTCCTGTGTACCATTCTGATCCTTCTCCAGTGTATGTCCTGTGTGCCATTCTGATCCTTCTTCAGTGTATGTCCTGTGTACCATTTGATCCTTTCCAGTGTATGTCCTGTGTACCATTCTGATCCTTCTCCAGTGTATGTTCTGTGTACCATTCTGATCCTTTCCCAGTGTATGTCCTGTGTACCATTCTGATCCTTTCCCAGTGTATGTCCTGTGTACCATTCTGATCCTTTCCCAGTGTATGTCCTGTGTACCATTCTGATCCTTCCCAGTGTATGTTCTGTGTACATTCTGATCCTTTCCCAGTGTATGTCTTGTGTACCATTCTGATCCTTCTCCAGTGTATGTCCTGTGTACCATTCTGATCCTTTCCCAGTGTATGTCCTGTGTACCATTCTGATCCTTCTCCAGTGTATGTCCTGTGTACCATTCTGATCCTTTCCCAGTGTATGTCCTGTGTATCATTCTGATCCTTTCCAGTGTATGTCCTGTGTGCCATTCTGATCCTTTCCCAGTGTATGTCTGTGTACCATTCTGATCCTTCTCCAGTGTATGTCCTGTGTACCATTCGATCCTTTCCCAGTGTATGTCCTGTGTACCATTCTGATCCTTTCCAGTGTATGTCCTGTGTACCATTCTGATCCTTTCCCAGTGTATGTCCTGTGTACCATTCTGATCCTTTCCCAGTGTATGTCTGTGTATCATTCTGATCCTTTCCAGTGTATGTCCTGTGTGCCATTCTGATCCTTTCCCAGTGTATGTCCTGTGTACCATTCTGATCCTTCTCCAGTGTATGTCCTGTGTACCATTCTGATCCTTTCCCAGTGTATGTCTGTGTACCATTCTGATCCTTTCCCAGTGTATGTCCTGTGTACCATTCTGATCCTTTCCAGTGTATGTCCTGTGTACCATTCTGATTCTTTCCAGTGTATGTCTGTGTATCATTTGATCCTTTTCCCAGTGTATGTCCTGTGTGCCATTCTGATCCTTTCCCAGTGTATGTCTTGTGTACCTTTGATCCTTCTCCAGTGTATGTCCTGTGTACCATTCTGATCCTTTCCAGTGTATGTCTGTGTACCATTCTGATCCTTTCCCAGTGTATGTCTGTGTACCATTCTTGATCCTTCTCCAGTGTATGTCCTGTTACCATTCTGATCCTTTCCAGTGTAATGTCCTGTGTACCATTCTGATCCTTTCCCAGTGTATGTCCTGTGTACCATTCTGATCTTCCCAGTGTATGTCCTGTGTACCATTTCTGATCCTTTCCCAGTGTATGTCCTGTGTACATTCTGATCCTTTCCCAGTGTATGTCCTGTGTACCATTCTGATCCTTTCCCAGTGTATGTCCTGTGTACCATTCTGATCCTTTCCCAGTGTATGTCCTGTGTACCATTCTGATCCTTCTCCAGTGTGTGTCCTGTGTGCCATTCTGATCCTTTCCCAGTGTATGTCCCTGTGTACCATTCTGATCCTTTCCCAGTGTTGTCCTGTGTGCATTCTGATCCTTTCCCAGTGTATGTCTGTGTGCCATTCTGATCCTTTCCAGTGTATGTCTTGTGTACCATTCTGATCCTTTCCCAGTGTATGTCCTGTGTACCATTCTGATCCTTTCCCAGTGTATGTCCTGTGTGCCATTCTGATCCTTCTCCAGTGTATGTCCTGTGTACATTCTGATCCTTCCCCAGTGTATATTCTGTGTACCAATCTGATCCTTCCCCGTGTATGTTCTGTGTACCATTTGATCCTTTCCCAGTGTATGTCCTGTGTACCATTCTGATCCTTCCCCAGTGTATGTTCTGTGTACCATTCTGATCCTTTCCCAGTGTATGTCTTGTGTACCATTCTGATCTTCCCAGTGTATGTTCTGTGTACCATTCTGATCCTTTCCCAGTGTATGTCCTGTGTACCATTCTGATCCTTCCAGTGTATGTTCTGTGTACCATTCTGATCCTTTCCCAGTGTATGTCCTGTGTACCATTCTGATCCTTCCCCAGTGTATGTTCTGTGTACATTCTGATCCTTTCCAGTGTATGTCTGTGTACCATTCTGATCCTTCCCCAGTGTATGTTCTGTGTACCATTCTGATCCTTTCCCAGTGTATGTCTTGTGTACCATTCTGATCCTTCCCCAGTGTATGTCCTGTGTTACCATTCTGATCCTTCCCAGTGTATGTCTTGTGTACCATTCTGATCCTTTCCCAGTGTATGTCCTGTGTACCATTCTGATCCTTTCCCAGTGTATGTCCTGTGTACCATTCTGATCCTTCTCCAGTGTATGTCCTGTGTACCATTCTGATCCTTCCCCAGTGTATGTCTTGTGTACCATTCTGATCCTTTCCCAGTGTATGTCCTGTGTACCATTCTGATCCTTCTCCAGTGTATGTCCTGTGTACCATTCTGATCCTTCTCCAGTGTATGTTCTGTGTACCATTCTGATCCTTCTTCAGTGTATGTCCTGTGTACCATTCTGATCCTTCTTCAGTGTATGTCCTGTGTACCATTCTGATCCTTTCCCAGTGTATGTCCTGTGTACCATTCTGATCCTTTCCCAGTGTATGTCTTGTGTACCATTCTGATCCTTTCCCAGTGTATGTCCTGTGTACCATTCTGATCCTTTCCCAGTGTATGTCCTGTGTACCATTCTGATCCTTTCCCAGGTATGTCCTGTGTACCATTCTGATCCTTTCCCAGTGTATATCCTGTGTACCATTCTGATCCTTTCCCAGTGTATGTCCTGTGTACCATTCTGATCCTTTCCCAGTGTATGTCTTGTGTACCATTCTGATCCTTTCCCAGTGTATGTCCTGTGTACCATTCTGATCCTTTCCCAGTGTATGTCTTGTGTACCATTCTGATCCTTTCCCAGTGTATGTCCTGTGTACCATTCTGATCCTTCTCCAGTGTATGTCCTGTGTACCATTCTGATCCTTCCCCAGTGTATGTCCTGTGTACCATTCTGATCCTTTCCCAGTGTATGTCTTGTGTACCATTCTGATCCTTTCCCAGTGTATGTCCTGTGTACCATTCTGATCCTTCTCCAGTGTATGTCCTGTGTACTATTCTGATCCTTCCCCAGTGTATGTCCTGTGTACCATTCTGATCCTTCTCCAGTGTATGTCCTGTATATCATCTTTATTTTTACCCATTATATATCTTACATATCATCCTGATCCTCCTTAATTATGTATATCTGTTTAAGAACCTTGATTCTTCCCCCAGTGTGTTTTATGCTATGTCCGTATGATGAAGAATAAACATTACATCTTTAGTAACTTAAACATATTGTATTAGTTTAATATATATATATATATATTATATATATATATATATATATATATATATATATATATATATATTATATATATATATATATATATATATATATATATATATATATATATATATATATTAATATTTTTTTAACAAGTCGGCCGTCTCACGCCGAGGCAGGGTGACCCAAAAAGAAAGAAAATCCCCAAAAAGAAAATACTTTCATCATTCAACTCTTTCGCCTCACTCACACATAATCACTGTTTTTTGCAAAGGTGCCCAGAATACAACAGTTCAGAAGTATATACGTATAAAAATACACAATATATCTCCCCAAACCCCTCCTTTAGAGTGCAGGCATTGTACTTCCCATTTCCAGGACTCAAGTCCGGCTATACAAAAATAACCGGTTTCCCTGAATCCCTTCACTAAATATTACCCTGCACACACTCCAACAGATCGTCAGGTCCCAAATACCATTCGTCTCCATTCACTCCTATTGAACACGCTCACGCACGCCTGCTGGAAGTCCAAACCCCTTGCCCACAAAACCTCCCTTACCCCTTCCTTCCAACCTTTTCGAGGACGACCCCTACCCCGCCTTCCTTACCCTGCAGATTTAAATGCTCTCCATGTCATTCTACTTTGATGCATTCTCTCTAAATGACCAAACCACCTCAACAACCCCTCTTCAGCCCTCTGACTAATACTTTTATTAACTCCACACCTTCTCCTAATTTCCACACTCCGAATTTTCTGCATAATATTTACACCACACATTGCCCTTAGACAGGACATCTAGACTGCCTCCAACCGCCTCCTCGCTTCTGCATTCACAACCCAAGCTTCACATCCATATAAGAGTGTTGGTACTACTATACTTTCATACATTCCATTCTTTGCCTCCATAGATAATGTTTTTTGTCTCCACATATACCTCAACGCACCACTCACCTTTTTTCCCTCATCAGTTCTATGATTAACCTCATCCTTCATAAATCCATCCGCCGACACGTCAACTACCAAGTATCTGAAAACATTCACTTCTTCCATACTCCTCCTCCCCAATTTGATATCAAATTTTTCTTTATCTAAATCATTTGATACCCTCATCACCTTACTCTTTTCTATGTTCACTTTCAACTTTCTACCTTTACACACATTCTCAAACTCATCCACTAACCTTTGCAATTTTTCTTTAGAATCTCCCATAAGCACAGTATCATCAGCAAAAAGTAACTGTGTCAATTCCCATTTTGAATTTGATTCCCCATAATTTAATCCCACCCCTCTCCCGAACACCCTAGCATTTACTTCTTTTACAACTCCATCTATAAATATATTAAACAACCATGGTGACATTACACATCCCTGTCTAAGACCTACTTTTACCGGGAAGTAGTCTCCCTCTCTTCTACACACCCTAACCTGAGCCTCACTATCTTCATAAAAACTCTTTACAGCATTCAGTAATTTACCACCTATTCCATATACTTGCAACATCTGCCACATTGCTCCTCTATCCACTCTATCATATGCCTTTTCTAAATCCATAAATGCAATAAAAACTTCCCTACCTTTATCTAATTACTGTTCACATATATGCTTCAATGTAAACACTTGATCTACATATCCCCTACCCACTCTGAAACCTCCTTGCTCATCTGCAATCCTACATGTTATTTAATTAATATATATTATATATATATATATATATTATATATATATATTGTGTGTGTGTGTGTGTGTGTGTGTGTGTGTGTGTGTGTGTGTGTGTGTGTGTGTGTGTGTGTGTGTGTGTGTGTGTGTGTGTGTGTGTGTGTGTGTGTGTGTGTGTGACGTAACTGCTTAACATAATGCACATAAGTCACACAATGTCTATAATTAACATGAATTCCAACATAACATTATTTATGAGTTCAAATACACAGGCAACCCAACAATAGATATTTGTTCTTTCGTTTTGCACAGATTTCCATTATTCTTGTACAAACTAAGGGTTGCCCAGAATTCGATCCCAAGACTTTCCGGTAATATTAATGCATGACTTACAACAATGGATGTATTTGAAAGTCCACACGTGCTGGAAGTCTTAATAATGATATCCATGGGGTATGATGCATCTAATGTTAAAAATTGGTTACTGTGGTATCTTTTCCAAATAAATTGTGTAAGCCTGATATATCACGAATGTGGATTTTCTTATCTAGATTTTTTTTTTTTTTGTTGAAAAAAACTCACACTTGTTATATTAAGAATTTAAGAGGTGTTTGGAAGTTCGTCTCTTGCCAGAAGAGATATACAAATACAATTTCTTAATATAATTTTTTCTTCTCTGTCCCCTGAACTAAATCTCGGTTGCCAATCAAGTTGGTTGCTATCTGCTTCCTCGCTGTTTACCGTTCAGCCGAACGTGGTCGGCAGAATGGAGAGGAGGAGGAAACTGAGCCCAGGAAGATATTGACTCCGCCTGGAGGCTGGCTGAGACCAGTGAGCAACACAGAGATGTTTGCAGCATCAGCAGCATTTCTGGGCACCGGCAGCACTGCTACGGTGTTATGGCTTTCCTCACTACAATCAATCAGACCTGAAGACGTTAAACAAGCTCTTTCTATCATCGCTCAGTAAGTATAAGTCGCTATCTCTGCGCAAAAATCAATACTAAAAATTGTTATAAGTAAGATATAATGACGCTCAACTCAGATCTCTCAGACACTTAATAATATTATAATCTTTGGTGACGCGTTTGATGTACTTGCCAGGAGGATACATGTTCTGCAACTTTGCGTTGCTTGGCGCTGGTTTCGCCCATGGTTACGACGGATGAAGAACGTTGTTGTAGACTTCAGCGTTGACACGGGCGACGCAATATCGGTATACTACCAGCAGATGCGAACTCCCTACAACATTTCTCAGGGACCACTGTGGAGGGCGAGGTTGGTTCCCCAGCCACAGGCAGCTGCTGGCAGCCACCAGGCCGTCCTGGTGCTCGCCATCCATCACGTCATCACTGACGGCTTCACCAATATGATCATCTCCCGTGACTTTATGGAGGTTCTGAACGCCATTATGACTGGACGGAGCTACAACACGCCCACACGCTATAACATTCCAGCCATTACTAATGATCTGCTCAGTATGAGAAACTATATTTACTGCTTTAAAGAAGTGTTGTTAACTACATATAAATCAATAGCTAGAATGTTTATTTTTTCTCACCCAGAAACAAAAGTAGCATTTACGAAAGTATTATATAAAGACTTCTCAGCAGAGACGACACAAGAGCTTTTGCGTCACTGCAAGGAAGCAAATGTAAGTATACATTCGAGTATTGTGGCTGCAGCTTACTTAGCTCTTTTACGCACCGCTCAGAAACACTTGAAGGTAAAAAAAGACTCACTGAGTATTACTTATGATGATTCTGTAAACATGCGTCGCTTCTTTCCTAGTATTTACAAGGAGTCTGTTGGTTTCATGTATCTTTTTGTAGGTTAGAACACACTGTGTGCAGTAGCGACGCAGAGAGCAAGAAGAACTTTTGGAAGCTAGCAAGGAGCATTCATTGTGGCCTCCATCACTTTCTTGATGCCAACAAAGCACCTCTTCTGGCCTCTCCTGTCAGTTGGATATTAGCTGTTCTCGAACAAGCTAATTACGTGCTCACTCGCCTGGGGTACAAAAATGCAATTATTACTAACATGACGATCTCTAACATGGGTAACCTGAAACACCTCTTGCCTGGTCAGTATGGGGATGGACCCGTGGCGATTAGCAGTCTGCTTCGATCGGTGGCATGCGAATTCCTAGGGTGTCCTTTTTTGCTCAATTTCCATACCTTAGATGGACGCTTTTCTATGTCACTAGACTGTTACATCAATAATGTCGCTGAAGATTTTGCCAATAATTTCTTTTCATATTTAACTAATTATGTTGCTGATATATCTCAGTGTGGCACCATCAGTTGTTTATAAAGTACAAATGTTGACATACGAGCATTCTGACATATTTACATGAATTTCTGTCGTCGTGTTGAGGGAAAAGTATACCCTGTAATTGTTAAACTTAACTTCCTAACATTCCTGAGTTGTACCTCTACACCTTGGGGAACAGATACACCTCAACACCCTCAGGACTCGAGAGATCCAGGCGCTTTAGCTCAACACCTTTAAGAGGTCCAAGCGTTTTTATGTCATCGTCCACCAGAGGTTCACAAACATTAGCTCGATGACCTCAAGAGGACCATGGGCCGTAGCTCAACACCTTCAGGAACCCCAGTTGTACCTCAGTATAAACCTAAGGTCCAGGAGCTGTAACTCAACACTTTCAAAAAGCTCAAGAGACAGAATTCAACCCTCTCAAAAAGAAAAAAAAAATTGGAGTAAATAAACGAGGTATTGTGGTATTTAACTGAGTGATTTACTAGTAGTAAGAAAACACAGCTCAGTCTTCATTAAAGGAGTCGTAGCTTCACAACAATGTGACTTTTCTGAATAAAGTTTTAAATTACTGTTTTTGTGTCTTATTATCTAGAACTCGTCAGTATTCCAAGGACTGGTTGCCGAGACTGCACTGTATTTCCCACTTCCAGGATTGCTACATCCCCACCCATCCTTCATAGTGCAGGCACTGTATTTCCCACTTCCAGGATTGCTACATCCCCACCCATCCTTCATAGTGCAGGCACTGTATTTCCCACCTCCAGGATTGCTACATCCCCACCCATCCTTCAGGATGAAGGCACAATGTTTCCCACCGCCAGAAATGATATTCTACCATCCTTCATAGTGCAGCACTGTACTCCACCAGCTACTCCTATAATGGCAAACTATCCTCGTTGGCTGTAAATTCCATAAATAACAGGAAGTTCTCGTGTTTTAATAATAATAATAATAATAATAATAATAATAATAATAATAATATAATAATAAATAATAATAAAATATAATAATAATAATAATAATAATAATAATAACTTTTAATTTTCATGTACATGATACAAGTTATACAGACCTAGCTGACATCAGTGACATGCTTTATAGACAGCCTCTGGTTATGCAGAGCATTTCGAGCAAATTAGGTTAATTTTGTTCCCAGCATGTAACCCACACCAGTCGACTAACACCCAGGTACCTAATTACTGCTAGGTGAACAGGGACAGCAATTGTCTTAAGGAAACACACTCCAGTGTTTCCACCCGTACCGACTAGCGAACCACAGACCTAAATATGCGAGTTCAGTGTGCAATCAAGCGAGCTACGGGACGCCTGGCGTGAATGCTGAGCTCAAGGCTTCTCCAGAAGGTGAAAGGATTTTATTAAAAAAAAAAAATTGGCCTCTATGAAAAGAAAAACGCTCTAGATATGCGTGGTCTCCGGCTGCCTACCTGGTGTCTACCTACCTACGGTTAGGAAGAGAGAACATAAAAGACCGGAGAATCCAGTATATATGGCGAAGAAGCTTCTGAAAGCTGTGGGACTGACTACCCCAGAACTACTTCAAGGATAAGGGATGATTTACATTATCTTTTCCTCATCACTGCTGCTCTCGTCCCCAGTTTTAATCACCTGTGTATTCGACTCAGCGAAAAGCCTATTATTGTTTAGGCGAAGCATATCGAAGGTTTTGTGGTGTGATCCCGTTGATGGGACCAGACCACAGGTGGTTGTGTCATCCGCTGCTGTGTCGCTCATCAATACCGTCACTACCGGATATCTCATCAGTTACGTTCAGTTAGTTATATGAAATCAAAGCCACAATTAAAGGTTAAATTTTTTTAACTATTACTACTGAAAGAAATATTTGTTTATCCCGTGGTTTTTGTGGCCAGTAGCGCCAGCGGCAGACCTTGCGGATCTCGTCTTGTCCAGTTTTTTCGTTCACTAAGATCAAATATCAAGTTCTTCATCAGAATGAAAGACAACTTCCAAGGGCAAGTTGCCATGAAATTTAAGAGCTCTTGATCCAATGAATTAGAGGACGCTGTTTCCTTACTGAGATCACATCTGATTACGTCCCATTTTCCAGGCGCTGTATATTACCAACCTGGTAAGTGTTTCCCATAAATATAAAGTATTGAATAATTATAATAATAACAGTAACAATACTACTTCTACTACTGCAACTACTACTATTGCTACAACAACAATAACAACAAGAACAACAACAACAACAGCAACAACAACAACAACTACTACTACTACTAAAACTACTACTGCAACTACTACTACTACTATTACTACTATTACTTCTACTACTACTACCACTACTACCACTACTACTTCTATTACTACTACTAAATCTACTACTACTACTACTACTACTACTACTACTAATAATAATAATAATAATAATAATAATAATAATAATAATAATAATAATGATAATAATAATAATAATTTTCAAAGTATCAGCAGTCTCTCACGTAGAACGGACCGAATAAAAAAAGAAAAATTGTCACCGCCATTCCTTCAGTTCGTCTCTTCCCAGAAGCAGACCGACATAACATTTCAGATGACTTGCAAAACTGCAACATTCCCCATCAACTTCCCCTTCAGAGAGAAGGCACTGTACTCTTCCATCTCCAGAACTCAAGTCCGGCTAACTGGTGCCCCTGAGTACCGTCATAAATGTTGCCTTGCTCACACTCCAACAGCACTTCAAATCATAAAGACCACTTACCTTCATTCATTCTTATCTGACATTCTCACACAAGCGTCTTGGATGTTTAAATCCTTGGCACTCAAAATCTCTCTCGCCCCCTCCCTCCAACCCTTCCTGGGACGACCCAAACCCCTCCTTCCCTCCACCCCAGACCCACAGGCTCTCCTAGTAATCTTTTTTTACTCTATGGTCTCTAACTGTCCAAACCACCTCAACGACCCTTCCTCATTCCTCTGAATAATACTTTTGGTTATTCCACAATGTTTTAGCAGAGATCACCCTAGGAGGCAGCTCAGATGAAAATTCACACACACACGAACTGTTAAATCTCTACACCAAATTCACCTGAAACCAGCAAATAATAAAGCCTACAAGATTAGATAATACACTAGACCTCATCTTCACTAACAACGACGATCTGATACACTCAGATCACAACATAATAGAGGTACAGACTTGTATGTGCAGGGCTCCTGACCAGCAAAATCTGATCAGTTATGAGGGTGCCTTCATAAAATTCAACTTCAATAACAAAAACATACACTGGAAAGAAATCAACCATGTCCTAAATGAAACAGGCTGGGAAGATATCCTAAACAACACGGATCCGAACCTTTGCCTAGAAAAAATTCCCTCTGTGGCACTTGAGGTCTGCTCAAGGCACATTCCATTAAGAAAATGAAAGAGAAGATATAAACTAGTAAGAGAGAGATGCTCCCTATACAGACGAAGGCGAAGAATCACAGAGCTACTGAGGGAGGCCAATATATCTGAAATATGAAGGGAGGCACTGGTCAGAGAAATAGTAAATATCGAACTTAAGATTGAGGAATCTTACAGGAGACAAGAATCTTCTCTTATGCCAAATCTAAGGCGACAACAACATCCAGTACTCGACCCCTGCTTAGACGAGATAGGACCTACACTGATGACAGTAAAAAAAAGAGTGAGATACTAAAGTCCCAATACGACTCAGTGTTCAGCGAACCGTTAATCAGACTAAGGGTCGACAATCTAATTGACCGAGACTCAAAATTCGGTCATTTCCAAAATCTCTGATATTATCCTAACACCACAAGACTTAGAAAAGGCAATTAATGGCATGCCCATGCACTCTGTCCCAGGCCCGGACTCGTGGAACTCAGTGTTCATCAAGAACTGCAAGAAGCCCCTGTCACGTGCCTTCAGCATTCTATGGGGAGGGAGCATGGACACAGGAGTCATCCCACAGTCACTAAAAACAACAGACATAGCCTCACTCCATAAAGGTGGCAGTAAAGCAATTGCAAAGAACTATAGGCCGATAGCGCTAACATCCCATATCATTAAAATCTCTGAAAGGGTTCTGAAAAGCAAGATAGCCAACCACCTAGATACCCATCACTTACACAACCCAGGGCAACATTGGTTTAGAGCAGGTCGCTCCTGCCTGTACCAGCTACTGGACCACTATGACAAGGTCCTGGATGCGGTGTAATAGCGCACACAGTGCGTGATAAAGGGATAACAGGAAAAGTTAGTAGGTGGATCTATAACTTCCTAACAAACAGAACACAAAGAGTAATAGTAAACAGAGTAAAGTCTGAGGCGGCTACAGTGAAAAGCTCTGTTCCACAAGGCACAGTACTCGCTCCCATCCTGTTAATCATCCTCATATCTGACACAGAGACGTAAGCCATAGCTCCGTGTCTTCCTTTGCGGATGACACCCGAATGGCCATGACAGTGTCCTCCATTGAAGACACCGCAAGACTCTAAGCGGACAACAACCAAATCTTTAAATGGGCCGCAGAAAACAATATGAAGTTCAGTGAACTGAAATTTTAACTACTCAGACATGGAAATCTTGAAAAAATTAAAACTGTATCAAGGTATAAAACAAATTCTAACCATACAATAGAGGGAAGGACCTGGGAGTGATAATGTCAGAGGATCTCACCTTCAAAGACCACAACAATGTATCTACCTCATCTGCTAGAAAAATGATAGGATGGGTAATGAGAACCTTCAAAACTAGGGACGCCAAGCCCATGATGATACTCTTCAACTCGCTTGTTCTCTCTAGGCTGGAATACTGCTGTACACTAACTGCCACCTTCAAGGCAAACGAAATTTCTGACCTGGAGAAAATACAAGAAAATCACTTGCTACGAAAACAAAAGACTCGGCAGGAGCTGCAACATTCCCACAATGAAAAGCAGGGACGCCACGAGAACACTGAGACAACACAATGAGTGTCAGGGGCCCAAGAATGTTCAACTGCCTCCCATCATACATAAAGGGGTTTACCACTAGACCCCTGGCTGTCTTCAAGAATGCGCTGGACAGGCACCTAAAGTCAGTACCTGATCAGCAGGGCTGTGGTTCGTACGTCGCTTTACGTGCGGCCAGCGGTAACAGCCTGGTTGATCAGACCCTGATCAACCACGAAGCCTGGTCTCAGACCGGACCGCGGGAGCGTTGATCCCCGAAACCCTCTCCAGATGTCAGATGTCACCGTCAGTTTTAATGCTCCGAATACTCTGCATAACATTCACACCACAAATTACCCTCAAACAGAGGGCACGCATAACTGAGATAAAACACCTCAATTACTGGGAGTGCTTGAAGTTCCTGAACCTGTACTCCCTGGAACGCAGGCGGGAGAGATACATGATTATATACACCTGGAAAATCCTAGAGGGACTAGTACCGAACTTCCACACGAAAATCACTCACAATGAAAGCAAAAGACTCGGCAGACGATGCAACATCCCCCCAGTGAAAAGCAGGGGTGTCACTAGCACGTTAAGAGACAACACAATAAGTGTCAGGGGCCCGAGACTGTTCAACTGCCTCCCAACATACA